GGCCCTGCTCTGAGCTGGGGTTGCACTAGGTATGGCCCGAGACCCCTTCCAACCCCAATTACTCTGTGGTGAGTTCATTGTTGTGTCAACAAGGTCAGATGGCAGACCCGTACCTTCCTGAGGATGGAGTTGCTTTGGGAAGCAGCAACGCTGTGTTGTGGCAATGGGCTCGTGTGTTGATGGAGCTGCTGGAAAACCTGCCCGGATTGTGAGGAGTTGGCTCTTCAAAAGAAAGTTCTGTACCGGAGTTTGGTTCTCAGGGTTTTCGAAGCCTTGTTTTGCAGTTGAGCATGCTGACAGTTTCCTTTCCAAGTTTACGCTCAGTCTTTAATGGTTGCTATCATTTCCCTTTTAACCGGCACAGTTCTTCAAAGCCAGCAGTGAAGGAGCATCAGCAGAGGTCTGCGGTGATCACGAGGGCTTCTCAGTGGCTCATTTCTTCAGCTGTCATTTGTCAGAACACACTCATGTAATCTTAATGAACAATGTGCAAAGCCATTAAAAACTCAATTACGGCTTTCTTTTTACTGCAGACGTGAGAAAATGCAATCATAAAGTGCTGATGTGTAAACACAATAGCCACCATCTGCTGCAAAGTAGCATTTCAGCTCAAAAAGAGGATATATGTTGCAGATGCATCAATAATAGGAGGCTTATCAAGGCATCATTATGCACCAAGCAGGGGAAAAATTGAAATTTATGGCCAGCTAGAGAGCACTTCATGGTTTAATTCCCCAATTTTCAGTGGTATGTTTAATAACTATGAGAGAGTGCCTTTTTATGTTCCCTGTCGTTTGAATGGATTTTTAAAAATGAATTTATTTACCATCTTCCCTTCCTCCTTGCTTCTGACTGATCTGAACATAACACGTTCGTTTTTAGCTACCAGGAAGCTGGTAAAATCAGCAAGATATTAATTAATGTAACCTGTTGATCCAAGAGCACTAAATTTAATTGACCTGATATTCAGCTGCCTTAATGAGCGTGTGCTTCTCTGTCCAGTAAATATATAGTAATAAAAACAAACAAACCAAAACAAATTTTCACACAGCATAGGTAATGTCTTCTCCCCAAACTATTTTTTTTTTAGTTCAGTGTCTGTTTTATGACATTTGATCTTCCCAGATGGAAGTAAACAAACAAACAAGAAAACCAGAGCTAAATGATTTTTCTGTTATTATTCCTGTTCCAAATCGCTCTAAGTAAGAGTTTCTCCAAGATACCTTTTGTTTTATTCAAATCCTTGCCTGGAGACATTTAAGTGGCTTTCAGTCATGCATTGATCAATAATTTCCATTTGTGACATGTTAATTCATTCCCTAGTTCCTTGTATGAGTGGAAAATGTGACAAGTGGCTTGTTGGTGCCAGACCAGATTGTACCTCTTTTATTTGCACATATAGGCCTATAAATTGAAAATAAGTCCCATCAGCTTCAATTCTGCATTCATTCTAAAGAGGGCTGTCAGGCTCTGAATCACAATATGTCACTTCATTTTAAAGATAATAAGGAAAAACACATTTGTCCTTAAAAGGCTTAAAATATTTTTTTTTTTTTCTTGGTGAGAGCAATTTTTGAGTTCTCGGACCTGCTCTAAGTGATGTGTCCTGCCCACGAGAGCTTCACTGGGCATGGGCTTCCTAACAGCTCAGCGGCTCCCAGCTGCAGGTCGTGGAGCATGCAGAGCAACCTTGGGAAGGTTCTGGAGGCTGGGGACAGGACAACCATGCAAGTCCACAATGCGAGAAGAACAACGCCAAGCATGTACAGCCGGGGCTATTTGGAGACCAGTTTGTGGAAAAAAATTTATAATGCAAACAATTTCTGGTACAATTCATTCATAACAGCAAGATGTTGTAGATGGATGCATTGTACCCAGTATCAGTTTCAGTCCTGATGGGACCTTTACACCCCTACTGAGGCCAGGCTGGACGTGGTGGGGGCTGTCTTGACCAGCCAGGGAAAGGGTTTCTTGGGGGAGCTGCCCCGTGACATCTTCCTGGAAATAAGTGCAGGTAGAAACAGCTGGCAGATGGAGGGGTGTGAGAACTTTCTGCCAGAGGTGGCACCTTAAGTGGAAATCTTTTATATTTTCTACTGTCACATAGAGTAACTGTCTCCAGTAAACTCCTGATACGAGATACTAAGTTTTTATAGTATTTTCTCATTTATCTCTAGGTATGCTATATTTAAAGAAAAAAAAAGCAACCATAAATTATAACTAAGAGACTATGAATAATTTGCATATGGCAATTACATGTAAGGCTATTCTTTTAGAAACCAAGACTATAATTATTTTGTTAAATGTCTTTTGGTGGATGGCTATTTCACTTGCTCCTGTTGTCAGTCACTGCATCCAGGCTCCCTACTCTCTCTCGAATTGTCAGCAGTTGCACAAAGGGCCATTGTCATTCTGCGAACAGCGTGTGATTCACTTGTTTGGTGGGCGGCAAAAAAATAAAATCGTAATTATTGCTTTGAACTTTTTATAAGAGCTGATGTTTTTCTCCCGGAGGAAAGCTCATTATTTTTATACCTGGATCTGTAAAAGTGAAATACTCCCTAACTCTATCACCAAAACACTTGCCTACCCTAGCACAGTTCAAGGCCCTGCTGCGTTACACACAGAACAGCTTCAGAGTAGATCTTCAGGGCAGAGATGCATTTATTACCCAAATGCAACAGAGAGAAGGGTTGCGGAGGTGAGCAGAGGTGAAACGACGTGCCTCGTGATCCCATCAGGGGTGGAGCAGAGATGAATTTTCCTGGGTTCCTACCCAGGGTTTGCAGGCACTTAGTCCAAAATCTCATTGCCCAGCATCCCTGCTTTGCTTTACTGAGTGTTTTAATCAGCTGTGCCTCAAATGTGAGATCTGGTCAATGTACAACTTGGCGTCATCTCATTTTGTATTGCTTCTGAAAACGGCACTGAACTGCTGCAAGTGGTGCGTTTTGTAGCAGCCACTGTATTCCTCCACAGGAAACAAAGATACACTACTGTTACTCAGCAGTTACACAGTGGCTTTTCTCCCAGGTTCTCAGCAGCAGTTTTTACTGTTCTTACTTGATTTATAGGGGAAGATGAGGCAGCCTGTACGTGCTGCCAGAGGTCAGGGAGGTGAGTGTTGTAATTAGTCTTAGAAACCAACCCATCAGATTTCCAGCTGTGCTGCCTCCTCAAGCCTACTGGTAATTGGACTTTGGGTAAGAAATTATCGTAGGTCATACAAACTGCATCCAGATCTCAGGTTCTCAGAACTTTAGTTTATTTGGGTGTATTTTTAAGAATAATATGGCCCCCAGTGAAATCTCTCATTTAATTGAGGAAGGGGATTTTGTGGTTGACTGGGAGCAAAAGTATATCAACAGTTGAACATTTGTCAAAATCTCGTCTTGCAGACTACGATTATTTGAAATAAATTAAAAAGTTTGGATTCAGCTCATGTGTTTCTTGAAGGTCCTTGCTGTGGATCTGGAATTTCTTGATTTGGGACCTTTGGGATTTTCAGCATATCAAAATGAAAGATAGGGTTGCCAGAGAGCATCCTGCCTGTAGCTTTTCTTATTTCTTCGTACAGCCTCTTCCCCAGCTGTGCCTGCATTCTACTTGAATTTTCCAAGGTCTCTAGAGTTTGTGATTTCTTTATGAAAGATTGACTTTTCTTCTGCATCCATGCTTTTCAGTACTTTACAAAATGCGTGTGTGTTTGTGTATATATATATATATATATATACACCACATAAACACAGGGAAAAAAAACAGTTTTGTAGAAGAAAGTTGCTGGTATCTGCTGATTAAAAAGAAATTAGAATATATGGCTGTTCAGTGGACAGAATTGATCAAAATGTTTATCTGGCTCATCTGAGCGTCTGTCACACTGCTGTGGCATGGAATAGGGAAAGTCAATAGGTTAGAAGTGAGGCAAAGCTTTTCAAACTCAATCTTCTGCGAGCTGCAAGAGGCCAGTGGAGAAATACATTTGTAGCATGACTTGGCAGCTGCATCAGAATTCAGAATGTCAAGAGGGCTGCATTTGATTAGAAATTATTATGCCTGGCTGCTGACACATGGATTTCCCCCCCAGATCTTGGTATGTTCTTCAGCTTTTTCTGCGAGTGTCTGCACACACATAAAGCAGATCCTTTAAACAGAATTGAATCAAATAACTCTCATAATGTTTTTCCTTATTGCTAACATTTGTCACCTTGATGCATCTGTAAAGAGATGAGTCGAGACACAACGTGCTGTAAAATAACTGCCTGATGAATCAAAACACGAGTTCAACATCCAGTGGCATGGTTAATATGATGCAAGCTTCGGGGTTAACAAACTCATAAATTGCCTTAGTATCTATCTTCCTACTTAAATTCAGCCGGTCCTTCCTTCCTAGACGTGTAATTGTCCGTGTAGCATTATTTCTAGCTCTGATGTTGCTGTACACTAACAAGCCTAATTTATGTGGGTTCTGAAAACTGTATTTCTTAACATATTGCCACCTTCAAAAGCTTTCGGTGCCAAGATGCAGAGTTAACAGGTGTAGATTGGCACGAGGTGGGAAGGGGCCATGTAGGTTAATACCAGCTAAGAATTTGGTCCATTGTTAAAGCGCTTTGTATTGAATGTGCTTTTGGGAAACTAGGTATTTGGGGCTGTATGTGATAGGAGAGTCTTGTGGTGAATATGATTTTGTTTAGAGGGACTCTTTTATTCCACAGTCATAAAATAATAAAAGCAAAGTAGCATTTTTAATTTGATTTTTGAAGTTATCTAATTAAGGCGGTTGTAGTTGGCCCTGAATCTATTTGTATTTATACCCTGTAATTTTAATATCTTTTCTGTTACCTAACAACTAGCATAAAATAACTAGTTTGAGTTCTTCAGATAAATGTTTTGTTTCCTGGCATCTAAAGGAATCATTGACTTTTCTAAGGAAGCTGGTTTTACTGAAAGAGCTGAAAAAAAATGCTTTGTATTTTTCATTCTTCCTTCTCTGTCTGTAGGCTCCTTCATGATGGTGAACAGCTCTGGGCGGGCATCTGGGCAGAAAGCTCACTTGCTTCTGCCTACATTGAAGGAAAATGACACACATTGCATCGACTTCCACTATTACTTATCCAGCAGAGACCGTTCGAGTCCTGGCTCTCTGAATGTCTACGTGAAAGTGAACGGAGGACCACAGGGCAATCCCATATGGAATGTCTCGGGGGTTGTTACAGAAGGATGGGTGAAGGCAGAACTTGCCATCAGTACATTCTGGCCACATTTTTATCAGGTATGAGTTTCTAATATTTTTCTCTCTTTTTCCTCTGCTCATCTCTCTAGGTATAAGCTATAAGCTATTAATAGTAATAGGTATTACTGAAAATTAAGTTGAGATTTTTTTTATTTGCCTCCTCCTGTTGCATCAGAATGAGTTTATGTATAGCAGTTCCTATAGCAAGAGATGATACAGGCATCTCGACATAGTTCTTCACTCTTTACCCTTAAGATGCTGTCAGGTCACAGAGAAAGTTGGACCGCTGAAGTTAAACTACTGGAAAGTTGAGACCCACTTGTATATCGTGACGTATGCATGTAAACAGACTTGTACTGGCACTTTCTTTCCATGGTTCTAGATAACAGTAAATACAACAGGCTGTCTGCAAGTGTAACTGCCTCTGTGTAAACTTGTCAGACCTACTTTTGGCCTTTGGTTGATTCTGTAAGAAGGAATGATTAACATTTCTCCATTCAGCTTGCATCTGGGTTATTGCTGCCCATACGAGGGCATACCAGTAAAATCTTGTACCATGTTATCAGCGTAAGTAAACTCTTCACCAGATCCAATCTCTCTCTCCATCCCTCCTGTTTTTAACACTGTGCCTGTAAGGTAGTTTGACTTGTTCTGTCAAGAGATTTTTTTTTTATTTTCTATTTTTGTTAAACAAGCACAAAGTCGAATGCATAAGTTATTTTCTGGTCATATTAATTTTATAGCTACTAGTTAGTAGACCACCTCATGGGGCTACTTCAAACTTCATGCAGTAACTTTGGAGTCACTGTTTTAGTTTTAATTAGAGAAGGTTGCACACAGTGGATTCACTTCTTGTTGAGCACTGAAGGTTTTTATCTTCAGGTTTTTCTTGTTTTGCATTCAAGAAAAAAAAAAAGCCTGGGAGGTAATTGCACCCTACACCTTGCAGGAAAAGGAGAAATACATATGATACTAATAAAAGCATGAGTGAGACAGGAATTATGATAGAAGAAACTGTGAAAAGGCAGTGAATACTCTGTGGATAGAAAACAGCAGGTAGAAAAGCTTTTGCTTTTTTTTTTCTTTTTTTCCTTCCTTTTAATAACTGGGTAGGAGGTCTATAAAATCTGAGCTGAAGTAGAATGCTTTAATGTTCTGCCTCCGAAAAAGAGTTGGGAATATCAGCAGAATAGATAGAGCACATTGTGCAGGGTGAGAGGAAGGGATAAAGAGATGCAAATGCACTGAAAGTGGTGTTTTAAGGGCTGTGCACAACTTGTCACTTGTTCTGAAATCATATTAAAGTGCTTGATATTCATATTAACATGAACCTGGTTGTGAACCAGAATTTGCTTCATAGTAGGTGCTCTACAGAGAGAACAGAAATGATCTTTCACCCAGATAATCAGTGCTTGAAAAACCTGGAAAAGACAGTCTGATCTCAAACCAAGAGATCCTTCTCTTAGATACACCAATACTAGACTTCCTGAGCCTTAGTTACATCTTTTGCAAGTCTTTTTAGAGGTCAAGTTTGCTTTTCCTGAGCCAAAAAATCCTTTAATTCAAACAAGAATTTTGTACTGCTTGCTGCGCAAAAATGAAGAGCCTGGAAGCCAGCAGTGACTGGCTGGGAGTAGTTCCTTTCAGAAAATGCAGGGGTTCTCTCCTCTTTCTTGTCCCCAGCCTCAATTTTTTGATGGATGGGGTGGTTGTTTCCTTCTACTTTTCCTTGTATTTTTATTTCTTAAGCGAGATCTGTCCCACAGATCATGGGGAATCAGATAGACTGATTTATAACCAGTCTTTGATTTTATAAACAACTTTTCTGTTGGTGATCTGCATTTTCTAGTGACTCTTTACATATATTAAAAAAAAAAAAAAAAAAAAAGAAAACTCTAAGCTCTCAAAAATGAAGGGAAAAGCACAATCAAGGTCTTCTGTTAAAATGATTGTTGTGTGACAGCCTGATGTAATGTAATGCTTCTGGCTAAGGGAGTCCAGAGGTGGCAGGATGACAAAGCTTGGGTGTACTGATGCCTAGGGAGTGTCTCATTTTATACTCACATCTAGGATATGCCATAGAGCATTAGTTGTCAGCTTTAAATCAAAACTGCCTGCCTAGAGAACAATTTGTGCACAGGGGGCCTGAAAGTATTTCCAAAACACCAGGTAAGATGAAGGGGGAAAAAATAAATGAATTTATCCAAAATTACGAAATCTGTGTCAGGCGAAATGGGGATTATTCTCTTAATACGTGGCAATCAACCACCATGAATCGCAGTGTGCGCTGAAAATTCTGTTAGGCTAAAGCATCTGAAACCATCTGCCCTGGGTCTGAGGCTTTGACAGGTGCCTGGAGCTTTGGAGACGTGACCAGTGGAAAACAAGTAACCGAGCCGCTTGCCAGGGGGTCGTGTTTTAGGTCTGGCAGCTATGCTCAAGGGTCGTGTGAGTCATCCAGCTCCAGAAGCACTCTGCTGAGGTATAGACGTGGGGATGGTGGAGATTTATAAATTCTACCCTAGAGTTAGTCGCACTTGGATTCCCAGTCTGCATACATTTTTAGTGTAGCGAGAAAAAGCTGTAATAGTACTTGGAGAAAGGTAATACGTGTAATCTTGAGTTACTGCTTGCCATAAGGATGAACTTAGTCCCAGAATGCGCCAAGTGCCGCGCTGCAGTCTGCCAGGAAGAGTTTTTTTGATGTATAGCAAGGAACGTTATTGATCCACGCCTGAAGAAAACTGTTGTACCACAACAGATGAGCCAGGCTACATCGCTAACACAGACATTGTTGGTATATAGCAGCAGTGAAATGTAGGATTGTTTATGGGGAAGGAAACATGAAATGACTTGGTATTTGCAGTTCTCAGGAGCGTTTAAGAAATGTGTAAGAGTAAAGCTTTGCATTTTGCCAGCTACATTAGGTTCTGAGAGCTTCCTTAAATATGAAGTAGTATTAAATGCCCATTTCTCAACCATTGTAATATATTTCAACTGAAGCTAAAAGGACATGAGAGCGACTCGGTCTGAAATGTGCAGAGCTGGGCCTCCTGCAAGCATGGATTTCTGCCTTTTTCTCATTGTTGGGTCTCAATTCCCAGTTCCCAGGAAAACCTGTGTGCTTCTGTGCTTCTTGCTTTAACGGGGCTGAGATGCAGCAAAAAGACAGAAGGACGACCATGTGGAATTTTGAATTGGGAAATAAGGAGGTCTGAGTGCAGAGTGAGACTGACAATGTTGTTTTGACAGAATATTTTATTGTGTGAATTGTGAGGAAACCTTCACTCTTCGGTGGTTTCTTCACCAATGTGAAGATTAAATCCATGGTCCTTTTAGGAGCTGACTCAGTTGTTACTGACTCCAGGTGTAGGTTATATTGTGCTGTATTAAGACCACCGAACATGTCACTAATTAACGGAAAACAGTTCTCTGTGTATTGGTGCTTACTTTTGCCATGTACAAGTAGCCAGTGAGTTGGAGAATTTTTCTTTCCAAGTCCTTGGCTTTCAGGAAATTGTTGTAGCTTAGCATGGCTTATAGCTACTTATAAATGCAGAACTAAAATAAGGTTTTTACAGCTAGTAAGTTGCAGTTCAGTGCAAGTTGGAGAGGAGTCACTGTTGTTGCTTTATGCTGCTACCAGTAAGTACCATTTTTATCATGAAGATTTTTTCCATTTATAAAGTAAATTATCCTTTCCACTCTAAGGACATGCATTACACTCTCGGTTTTTACAGTCTGTTGAGGTCTATTGAGACTCTTGATCACATGAAACACTCATAGATGGTTTTGGGATCGTTATATCATCTTCCAGAGATTTGCTGCTGCTTCTTGTCCCTTGGACAGCCTATTTTTTGTCCACCTCCCAGTGGTGTAGAACTCTATTTCTAAACATTGTTAACTCGTGAACTTTTCTTAGTTCATTTTTTTGCCCATTTATTTTTGTATTCTACCTGTTTTTATCATGGCTTTTTCCTAATGGACGTATTTCAGGAGATCTCCCGTTTGGATGTGCTGTGAACTGGGGGAGCAGATCTTACAGAGTCATGGCAACATGAGCAGAAATTAAGTTCCAGAAGCACAAATGCAAAATAATGAACTTGGTGCTTATGAAGTCCAGTGCTCCGCTTTTGTAGTGTTGAGCATGTGGTGATCAGCATTGAGACAGCTGAATATGTAGTGTATTAAATCTTCTGATGGAGAAAATGAAGAAAAAGCTGAACAGTAGCAGGCTGGGAATGCCAGCTTTTATTTAAAGTGGAAAAAACAGCCTTGAAAACTGGCTTTAAGTAGCTAACAAACTTTGTGGTTTTCTAGTAATGATTTAAGTAGTCATGAATTACTGAAATAATTTATCCTACAAAACAAGTAGCTGCACTAGAGTGCTGCTGCAACAGTAGTAACTGTGCCAGCTGAGCACATTAATTAACTCTGTCCTTGAAAACATTACTGTATGCTCATGCAAAAATGAGCAAGTTAGTAGAGTGTGAACGTTGCCTTAGTAAGAGGAAACAAAACTGGGGAACATCCCTTTCAAATGCCAAGGACAGCAGCCATTTAATCTCTCCACATGCATGACTTTTTAAAAAATAGTTAAGGATAGCGCTCCATTCCTTTCCTTTGAGAAGAGAATCGCTAACTCAGGAGTTTCTGGTAGACCAGAAGCTCAACATGAGCCAGCAGTGCGTGCCTGCAGCCCAGAAGGGCAACTGCATCCTGGGCTGCATCAGCAGAGGGGTGGGCAGCAGGGGAGGGAGGGGATCGTGCCCCTCTGCTCTGCCCTCCTGAGGCCCCACCTGGAGCCCTGCGTCCAGCTCTGGGCCCCCAGCACCAGGAGGATGTGGGGCTGCTGGAGCGGGGCCAGAGGAGGCCACGAAGATGCCCAGAGGGCTGGAGCACCTCTCCTGGGCAGGAAGGCTGAGAGAGCTGGGGGTGGTCAGCCTGGAGAGGAGAAGGCTCCGGGGGGACCTCAGTGCAGCTTGTCAGTACTTGAAGGGGGCTTCTAAAAATGATAGAGAGCAACTTTTTTGTTTGGTCAGATGACAGGATGAGGGGCAATGGTTTTAAACTGAAAGAAGGGACGTTTAGACTAGAGGTTAGGATGAAATGCCATTCTGTGATTAACATTACCATGTTAAATAATTAGTCTGCACTTTTCCTTTTTGCATTCCGGCCTAATGTTACCAAATTTCCTGTTCCTCATGTCCTACTAACCTTTAATTGTTTGAATAAACTGGGCCATATTTAATACTATTGGTCTTCTGAATCTTATTTAGCGGTAGGAAACTGAATTTTAATGAGTCTTTTAGGGTTCCCCCTGCCCCATCTCAAAGTCTTTGCAGATAGCTTGTATGTTAGTAACAGGACACTTCAAATCAGGGCAGTTTTCCAGGTACAATAACACTGCCCTAGAAAAGTGTGACATTTTTGTTCATCACTAATCAAATATATGTGTAATTGGCGTCAAATTAGTGGAACACTTTCGTTGTCCAGATAAATACAGAAAATAGTGTTAAGTAGTTTACTGTTAATATAGAGAAGCGTTACATATGTTTTCAAAGAGTACTCAGAGTCTGCTAGTTCAGTCCAGGGAAAGGCAGAAAAGAACTTTATTATTTCTGGGAGAATCTTATTTCAGTCCAGTAATTAGAATCCAGGGTCATGTGTTGCTCACTTAGTGCTTTCTGATACTGCAATAGCGTGCATGCCAAATCAAGGTTTTCTCCAAAAGAATCCATGCAGAGTTATTGATTCAATGAGAAAATCATCTTGTGAATGACATTCTCCAACTTGGAGGCACACTAATTAGAACAAGATGTCAAATGATTACACACGTAATGTTCTTGGACTGGTGCTTATAGTGTATACAGGAGTGTGTGTATATAAAGAGGGCATTTTTTGCTCTTCCAAATGGAAATAGTACTTAGTTCTTGCTAATCCTAATTAATGTTGCTCTATTTTTTTTTTCCATATCAAACAGATTTCCAGTCTTTGATATACATCTGCATAGTGAGTTGCATAGGTGCCCCTCCACTATCCGTGATAAAATGCCTTGAACGCATCAGACATTGGAATACGAGCAGAATGTTGTGACTGGCCAAATGACTACTGCTGTTTCTCTTTTCAGAAATCTTTTCTTTTTTTGTATTTCAGGTGATATTTGAATCTGTCTCTTTGAAAGGACATCCAGGGTACATAGCTGTGGATGAAGTCAGAGTTCTTGCCCATCCATGCAGTGAGCATTCTTTGTTTTTCTAACTCTATCAGTGTGTTATATACCAGGCTTTGCGGTCTCAAGAAGTGATATACCCAATTCATTGAGCTCTAAGATTTCTTTTTATGTCCCCTGAGACACCTGATGACAATCAGCCTTTCACAACTACTTAACTTACCAAGTTGTGCAAAAAGCAAAACTGACTCTGTAGTTAGTGCCTGAATGTCTGGAAGTTTCTATTCCTATACTGCCACAAGAACACAGAACTCTTGATTGTTTTGTTATTTCTGAATCATACTGGTGTAGAAAAAAATCTAAAAAGTTTTGGATAATGCCCTGTGTGGTTGACTTAACAAACAAACAAAAAAAAAGAAATCAAATTGGTTCAGTATTTCCTTAATAAAGGACATATCCCAAAGGTATCTCTCGAAAGAAATGTTAAACCCACTCAGCATCTGCATGAGGATATTAAAAATAAATCTCATTCAGACTTGCACAAGAGTGAAAACTAATGCAGGTTGATTGCACTGTTCAAAAGTATTTGGGTTATGTTGCTTCTATAGTGGTTACATTATGCCCAGCTTACATTTTTCATACTTAGGCCTTAAACCTCTACGTTGTGGCATAATTTTTTTTGATTTCTCTGTGCATGCACAGTGAGGCTTGAGGACTTCTGTATGTCTATATTGTGTCTGTAGTACATAGCCCCTTCTAAAGATTTTAAACAGCTTTCATGTTCTTTAGTGAGTTTAGATGTGTCTCCTTCAAATACCTTAATGTTCTTAAAAGTAATCTGTAATTACCCCATGTCTTTTAATGCTCAAATTATTAACTGTTATGTAGCATACTAAAATGCACTTTTGGGGTGATACTTTGATTTATTAGATTATGTTTACCTTTGTTTATATTTTGGTGCTGCAAATTCAACATTTCCGAGTAGCCTGGTGTCATTTGGAAAGGTAGCCCACCGCCCTGCCACTTCAGTGCTTTACAGCCCCTTTCACTAGCTCGTTGTTTCAGCAAATCAGCAGTGGCTGCTCACAACAAAATCATGTAGATTATATCAATGGGGTGAATAGACTTTTTTTCTTGCAGTACAGAATTTCAAAGAATAGCTACCATTTAGCATGACAGACATGGATGGCTCTGCTCAAGTTTAACAGGACATTTCTGATAACTGCAATATGGTTAATTGCTGTTTAACTAAATTATATTTGTATTTACCATGTGCTCATTGCTCAGGCCTTTGGGTGCATTTACTTCATTAAGAAATCCTTACAATCTGTGTTGACCAGATGTTGCTGATAACTGGCAGCATCCAAACAAATCCCCCGAATGATGCGCCTGTATTCCGCTGCATAGCGGGTGGTGCCTGATCCCTTTACTGGGAAAGAGGCCACTGAACCAACCGTGTGGCAAAGCCTAGACAAGGTTATGGGATCGAAAAAATAGCAACAAAAAGACCCCTGCTTAGTGAAGTATTTAAACTGATGATTAAATCAGTGTCTGCAGGTATATGCAAGTCCCTCTAGAAAACTGAGCGCAACCTTGTTGACCCCAAAGTGGGGTGATTCGAACTGTAACCACTGCATTTCGAGTCAGTTTGCAACCTGCAGAGTACAGAGCTCCCCACAGGCTGCGAGTTCTCTGCAGTCCTTGTAAATGCCTCTCCTGTCCCATTGCCAGTGTTGCCTTTGTTGTTCAGCAGTGACAGCCACCAGGGCAAATGTCACCAGGGCGTGTTCTGTCACTTTTACAGGCGTTGCCCCTTGCGTGCATTTTACAGTTGTTACAACTCAAAACACAGGAACCACGGAGCTCCTGGTGAGCATGGGTGTGTGACTTGAAATCATTGGTGTTATTTTTTCATTTCTGCTTCACCTTCATAGATAAGTGTACTACTCAACTTTGAGACACATTTCTAGCCCCAAGAAAGCACGACAGTACAGAATCGCTGCATTTCTGCAGCCTGCGTGCTGGAGGTGTCAGCAAATGGAGAGCAGGGAGAACACCATATGGAAACTAGATAAAAACCTTCAGCATAGTGTACAGTCCTCATGTGCCTGTAGTGGACACCTACCTGCATGCCAAGCCTCATACATGCTTGGGCACAGATGTCCATACCCTTTTGAAGTTATTTATTTCCAATAGAAGAATATAGGGTAGGATGTGTTATGAAATTTTGTATCACTCTGGTGGCTAATCGTATTAGGAAATTCAAAGATGAGTTGAAAAGGATTGACCTTTAGTGTCCTACAAGACTCTGTGTGTCTTACTAAAAGTATTTAATTGGAGCACAAACTTTCTTCCAAAGCCATGCAAGCACTAAGGTCATTTTGAAGTGTCAGATTCACCGCTGCATTTTTTTTCCTTGTAAGTTTTTTTTTTTTTTACTTTAGTAGATGAGTGGTGTTTAAAAAAGATCTTTTTGATCTTTTTCCTTTGTCAACAAATGTATATTTAATATTGATGATATTGCCACTTTGGTATCAGTGCTTTAATATTGAAATTGAACTAATACTGAACTTAATGTCAACAAAAAATTACATTGTTCTTAACTAATATGGTGATAAAATACTATCATTAATACCAATATTTCATTTAATATCAATGATTTTATATCAATGACTTTGTTATTCTAAAGTTCTAGGATGTAGTTGACAGTCAAAAAAAGTAAAAAGGGAAAAAAGGCACTTAGGAGAATTTGGTTTGGGTCAGTCATGCTTGACAACCTCAGAAACCTTTGGTTTCTTTTTGACCTTAATAAAAACACAATTTTCTAAAGAATTTACTCAATTACTCTTCATAGCAATGAGTAAGAAATTGTTTTGATGACCGTGAACTTGTGATCTGACAGTCTATGTTTTCAGATGTGCCAGAGCTCTGTACTGATATCTTGGGCTGTTCTCTGTAAGCTCACCCACCTTGCTCTGCAGGGAATAGTCAGGTACTGAAGGACAGCTTCATTTTACTAAATTGCCTGGTCAAGGATCAGTCTTAAGGCTTTGCTGGGTGTTTATGTCAGTATTGGTGTAATAGTCAGTTGCTGCCTTGCTCTACCCTTCCTATCCTTTGCATCTTTTGTTAGGAAAAGCACCGCATTTCCTACGGCTGCAGAACGTGGAGGTTAACGTGGGGCAGAACGCGACGTTCCAGTGCATTGCTGGGGGGAAGTGGTCACAGCATGACAAACTCTGGCTCCAGGTAAGATGATGTAGTGTTTTCGAGTAAAATAAGTAGGTGGAGGACAACTAGGTGGTGAGGCAAAATGTTATCACTGAGATCTTTTGAGAACTGCTTTAAAGTGTTTCCAGATGGGAGTCCAAGGTGACAAAATACAGAATCGTGCTACAGAAGATAGAAAAAGTGGCCAGTTACTGCAAAATTTTAGTTTTAAACAAATCTGTGCACACCTGTAAGCACTTGGCATAAAGCAGAAAAGACAGAGCAAGTGGAGAAGTTCCTCACTCATGCTTAATTTGTGGTCTTCTTCCCCCTTGCCCTCCAGAAGTGTCATTGGCAAGGGCTGAGGGCAGTAAGTTAAGATGGAAACCTACCATAAGGTCTGAGATTGCTATCTGGTTGATAAAAATAGGCAAAAATCAGTTTGTACTACCTTTGTTTCTTCCTCTCAGTTTCCCTTAGCTGTGTTGATAGCAGATTGTTTCTTCTAGTTGCTCAATAAAAGATGAAAGCATTCACTCTCTTAATACCTGTATTTTCATCCTGCCAGCTGGACTTGAAAAACTGTGTAGTACTATTCATGTAGGTATAGTAAATGTAAGAACTGTTTTTCAGTTCTAGACTTAGAAGTGGAACACTTAGCAAACTGGAAGGGTGGAGTACTGTTTCCCAGTGAAGAACAAAGTTATTTCTTCTGCCCATTCAAGTGCTTGGCTGTGGAGAGTCCCAGAACTAACATGTTCTATACATAGAGTTCTTCTAGGAACTTTAAAAATAAGGGAGCTCTCATAGTTGTCTAAACTTCTGCACCATGAAACACCTAATGTCCCAAACAAAGATTCTGTTACTGCATGCACTGTGCACGTGCATAGGGCTGACACTTTCAAAATGCTGAAGCCAGTCAACAGTTTTTATTCACAGCTCAGAATGATGTGATGGAGGACCAGATTTAGCAAGAATGTGCCTTAAGGATTTTCTGCATACAGTAGGATTTAAACACACATCTTTTCTTAAATTACTGTTCTGACGGCAAAATTCAGTTCGTTTACGGCAAAATTCAGTTCATTTTTTTTCTTTCCTTTTTTTTTTTTTTTTTTGGTGCTTAGTAAAACAAACAAAAAGCCCCCAATCAAACAAGAAGAAACACCACAACTGCAACATCGTCAGTGACAGACCCTTATCATAGTTGCTATGGTATTTGTGGTGATATGTTACGGATTTTCTCAAATTCTTTTATTGGTTTGAGACTTTTTAATAAACTTTTTTTTTTTTAAATAACAGTTTCAATTCTAGTCGAAATACTAGGAGCTGAATCAGTTTGCCTAATACTAAGAATTAAAATTAATGCTGGGAAGGAGATTGTGTTGGTGAGAAATGTGGTTGGCATTATCTAGAAATAACTTGACAGTCATTTTAACTGTACTCCTATCACAGCCATTATCCTAAAAATTATCTTTTAATCTGAAATTTATTAACCTGTGTTATACTTCTAGCATCCACTGAGGTGTATCCAATGAGATATATTTTGGCTTATTTTATATCTCTCGAGTTCTTTCCGTGAAATGTTTCCTCAGTTATGATTAGATGTGTGTAAAAACACTTCTGATCTGAAGCAGTCTGAACCTTTTCCCGAGAGAAGCAGGGGTTTGGGAGGAAACCATTGTTGCTACTGGGGGCTTGTTTTCCATTCTTTAAAATTGAAGTATTTAATGAAAATAGCCTTGGAAAAAGCTCCCAAAATTGATTACTGGAAATTGGCAAAATGGCAGTGTATTTTCCTCTGAGCCTCCTAATAAAGTAGGCCAACTGAACAAATTCAGGTGTTTATGCTGATTTCTAGTTAATTCATCATCTGTCACTCTTCCAGTTGGGAAAATGTAGTCTGGCATTGGCAGGGAGAGATTTTTTGAGGAGTGTTGCATGTACAAGGATATCTGCTCATCCAATTTATTTATTTAAATTGCTTTGGAAACAAAGTTTTACACCTGAAAATGCCAGGTTTATAAAATCTGTTGATTTTGTAGCATTTCTGTAGGTGTACAAAACCTGTTCATTTGTAGTATTTTCATGTCCTAGCTAAGCCTTTGGATATACTCTGTACAAATTCAGTCTGAACTGTCACTCTCCAGACTTTTCAGTGTATATATAACACATCAAATGCACAAAAACATTTCAAAATTTAAGTAGACATGAAAACTTAAACAAATATACTTGTAAGGATACTTAAGCCCATTAGTTCACAAAATCCAAAGCCCTGTACATTTTGCAGGGGCATGACTAGCAGTGTTGCCCTGAAAAATTGTGCTTATATAAAAACTAACCTAGAGTAATGTGAACATGGAGGTTTGAACAATATTAATAGTAACAAAGAGTGAATGATCTGTGTGCCTTTTGACAGACGTTATTTTTGTCTGCCTTCACAGCAGTGGAATGGACGGGACACAGCATTAATGGTCACTCGAGTCGTCAACCATAGACGTTTTTCTGCTACTGTCAGTGTTGCTGACACCTCTCAACGCAGTATCAGCAAGTACCGATGTGTCATTCGTTCAGATGGTGGATCTGGAGTTTCAAATTATGCAGAATTAATAGTGAAAGGTAGGTTGCATTAAAACAGCAAGTTTATGTAAGATGAGTATTTCCTCCCACATGGCAACTGCGTGTAAGATTTGACATCCTATTGGACCTTCCTCTTTCATTCATATTAAATTCAAGTAGGAGAAAAGGGTAAGAGAGACAAGAATTTCAATCATTTTCTTAAAACAAGTATTTGAATCAAAACTTCACCCAGATGTAGCCCTCTTCGTAAGCTATTGTAGTAACACATGGTAGCTATGGATACTTCTAATGCAGTCAGCTGAACAGTGTAACCGTCAGTCAGCTTCATCTGCCTTCCTTTACAGTTTATCAGGCATAAATAATCCTGTGATGGAGCATTGCATGTCAAATGAGTCTGCTCAGGGCTGCTGGGAGTAAGTGGTGGGGGATGAGTCTGCTCATGTCTTAAAATACACAGCAGAGACATCAGTAGTTCTTGAAGGAAGCTTAGAGTTTTTAGCTCTGTTATTTACTGTGTTTCAAGAGGTGATACTGTGCCTACATTTGCAAGGTGGTACTTGCTTAAGAGCTTCCACGAGGCATGTAGTGAGGTGTTATTTACTGTGCTCCTTTTTTAATCTTACTTTGAGCTTCACCACAGGGATGTTCTCTGCCTCTTAGGAGAAGTGAGCAGAAGGTGGCAAAGTCACCCCGAGAGTGCTTCATTCTGTATTCAGGGTGGGGTGACTTGGGGTGGAAGGAAGTTGAAGTACAGGTCTGCTCATGGAGTGTAATTTTACTGATCCAAATGTTTTAATTTTCTATGAAAATGGACTTTTGCAGAAACAAGATCACTTTCGTCCACTGTTTCACTTTCTGCTAATTTACTCTGGCACTTATGATCGATATGCTAATGCCTTCACAATGCCTTAAATATCAAGTGTTGAATGTTGTAGATACTCAGACTACACAGATCATGAAGAGAATGTTCACATTAGATGCCAAGTGCTTTTAATTCCCACTGGATGATCTTGCATTTTATTTGTTCAAATCTGGAGAAATTAATTCACAATTAAAAAGGAACTGAGTTGCCAAGAGTGGCGTATCTAGTGTTGTATCATTGCTAAGTAGAGGAGATCTTCCAGAGCAACCAAATATCAGAATATGCAGAGCTGGGCACGTGCCTGACACTTCCATGTTTAACAGTATGAGAAGGATTAGAATGGAAGAGTGAGTTATAAAAATGAATGGTTGGACATGCAACACGAGACATCGATAGATTTGTTGCTGAAGTACCCAGGCAGGCAGCTAGCCAGAAGAACTTCAGGAGAGTAGTGTTGTTGTGGGAAGGTACACTCCTCTGCTCCAGGGTAGTAAGCAGGAAAAGTTAAGTGGTTCATTTGAGGTTAGCTTGATGCAGCACTGTGAAACTCTGGGATTGCATGGATGAGTACTTCTAGTCTGACTAATTTTAGTGTGGATAATAGCAAATTTGTAATGCATGCACACAGGCTGAAATGAGAGCAAATTGGAATTGTCTATTTCTGAAGAGATGTTTATTGAATTGCAGTAATGTACTTGGGTATACATTAAATTAGTCTGTAATTGAAGTTTTGCTCAATTGATAGTCCTGTCCCTAAACCTACTAAATCCAAGCTAATACTCTGCCTTGCATGCTTTTGCTTAGTCAGTTGAACATAAAATCATATGGGATTTCTTCAACAAAGGTTAAGGTTTAAAAAAGGATCAGTGTATCTTTTTCATGTAAAGGTCTGTTTGCTTCCCTAGGCATAAGATATTTTATTATAGAAATGAGAAAGTGATTCACATTTCTCAATATTGCGTGATTGATATTTGGTGGGTACAGCAAGAGAAATTTTCCTTTGAAATACATCGTGTTCTACTTCTGCACCCTAAATCGGAACAGCAGGTACCTCTTCCAGCAAATAAAATGATCAGTGAAATTAACCCCCGTACCACCCAGTTCTCTCCTTACATGTTTGTGTGGACATGTTTGTTAATGTATTATTGTAATTAGCGGAAATCTTACACAAAAGATGATAACTTTATTTGCTTAAAATTGTTGCAGTATATTTACTGGTAGGTGATACCTTTGTAGTACTGAGAATGCTTTTCTGTAGAGCTATTCACTGTCTATGCTAATGCCTTTCTGACTCTGTTACAAGGCTTGTGTAAATGACAATACGTTTATTCTTCTCTCTGCACTTTAGAATCATAATAGTAAAGCCAGAGAAACCTATCATTTCCATCCATACACCTTACCACCCTTTGGTGTGCCTGTGGAAATAGCTCTTCTCTATTTCTTATCTCTCACTGTTGCACATATAGTAATTTAATACAATTGTGTATAGGGCAGTTTTCAAAAAATCCGGTGCTGCTGCATTTTGCTGTACTGATCGAATGGGATGCTTCTTGTCTGTAATTTGGTAAAGTAAAAAAGTAAGTCTGCGTGGCAGTCATTCGTATTCTGAAATAAGTGCATGTTTTGCTTGTGTAAAGATTGTCTAAAACACTGTGAAATTGGCCAGAATCTGATCTGTATTAATGATATAATTTGAGTGTCCTTCCAGGAAACTTGTCCCTGTGTAACAGTGTAAATAACATTTTAAACTGTGTATATACAGCAGTTTGTTTGCTATTTCTTTTTTGTTTGCTATTTCTTTTTATCCTCACTGATTTCAGATATTCTGAGTGCCCAGATTAATTACTGAATGGATGGTTGGAAATCTATAATCTATTTATCATAAACCATTTTTCTGCTCTTTTTGCTCTCCAGAAAGTCCCTCAAAATTTTGTTGCTACCTGATGCAATTTTGTTTAGACTCATGGTGTTTTCCTAAAATCTGTACTGCTGCAAAAGGGGTTGGAATATGCAACAAAGCCCCTCTGCGGACCTCCTAGGATATGTTCTGGTACTCTTCAGTTCTTTCTTAGCTGCTTTTCAAAGTGTTTGTTTAGTCAACACTGACAAAACACAGTCTGCCTCTTAACTGAGGGGCTTTCTGTAATCCTTGTGGTATTTGGGACAGCTTGTCTTTCATCAGTTGCTTTTTTCTTGAGGTTTTTAGACGTGAAGCTGATACCTTCAGAGACACCAGAGGGAGAGGTGGTTTCATTTTCCAGAGTTGCTTACTATTTTTTCTCTAGTTCTTTTCTGGTGTGATGCTTGTCACTGTAATTGCACCGTCTATTTATTAACTCACTGGGTACACCGTGAAAACTGCTCTAGTGCTCATAGTACACCCTGGAATTAAAAAAAAAAGAAAAGAAAAGAAAAAAAAGCTGTCAAGCTATCAGATATCAGAGCTTAAATATTCAAGTGTGAAAAGCATGCTAAATAATTACACATTAAAAAAAAATCTGTATGGTGAGGCTGCTCCAGAATGCAATACGCCACACAAACTCCTGGTTAGCAATCGTAAGGCAGACTTGACCTCTACAGGTATTTTGACCTGTCTCAGTATTGTTGCGTCTGGAATCCCTTCAGTTACTTTTTAAACACTGGGAAGAACTTCTAAGAGAAAGAACTTCCTATAGCTTAAAAGAAGAAAGTAATAAAAACATCTGACTTGTACAGCTGAGACCACTGTTGGGCTGAAGCTGGCCCTAGAAGTGTTACATGAGGCCATCCATAGGTCTGCTTAGGTAAAAGAAGTGGAGTGTAGGTGTGAAAGTATGGTGTATGGTGGTACACGTCTGCTCTAGAGTAGAGCCTGTGTCTGGGATGAAAATATAATCACCTTCCACATACTTGCTAAGGTTGATGGCAAACTCCGTGGTCTTTCACTTTGCATGAAACAGTTATGGGGAGGGGTGGTAGATGTTCAAGATTCTTCAAAACTTTTTATTTTCTTGATGTTTTCTTTGTTGTTGTTGTTGTTGTTATTTTCTTGCTCAGCACACGTATGGTTCTATACCCCAGGGTATCTGTGTGAAATATACTTAAAAGTAACATCCTTGCCATGGCAGGGTAATACAGCAGCTCTTGTCCCGGTGGTGTTTCAGCCCGTAGGCTGAGGGTGCAGGTAGGAGAGGTACCACGGCTGTCCTCCTGCCATGGGGGTGGCTGGAATGTGAGCCCAGTCCCTCACTTGGAGCCATCTAGGAGATAAGCTTATCCGTGGTCAGAAATATATGCATTTTAGATCTCGCCGTTAAAAATATTTTTCTAGTATACATAATAAGTTCAGATAGCAATTTTCATGCCTCGCAGCTATTTATCAGACTCATCCAGGCTGCAAAAGTTGCTGGGTAGATTTGAATTTGTCTGCCTGAGTAATGCGCGTTAATCAAGGTCCTCAAAGTTATCACCTTGTGAACAGGAAGAAGTCTCTTGCTGGCACTGCCAACGGTATCAGTAAAGCTGTGATTACGAGGATCTCCCTCAGGCTGCGCGCTATCTCTCTCTCTCTTTTCCAGTTTGCACAACTAGATTGTCTGCAGAATTTACGTGTCCTGTGCCAGGAGAAGTTAAGTGTAGGTTTGGTAAGGTGTGCAGTGATGTTGCTGCTCTGAACCCTGGACTAGCACAGAGGGGTTTTGCCCATGTCAACCATTCAGGAAAGTTTTGCTGGCTTGGAAATAACAGAGCATGGGAGGATGGCTTTGTGATTGTAGGGTGCCTGAAAGAGCTGCCTCCATTCCTTTATTTCTTCGTAATCACACTGATACAGAGTGTAATGCTCACTTCCTTGGTGTCCACGTCTGACTAGTAATTACTCAAATTCTTCGTTGTTCTAACTGCCTTGTTCATTGTCACCTGCTGGCTATTGCTTTAACTCAGCTGTGAGCATCAGCTGGGGGTGTGGTGAGAAAATGGGAGATGGGATTTCAAACACTCATTCCCTCTCACCAAGAGCCTTACCTTCCCTTCGCCTTCTTTCACTCCAACTTAGTGTTGTTGTGTTGAGAGCAGAGAGATGAGGACAAAGCCATTGCTTCACAGAAGCTGGCAGTTAGGAAGAATGATGTGCCTTCTTTCAAAAGGAAACATTTCCTTCTTCTGTTCAATGTCCAAAATAGAACTGGGAAATGAAGCC